TGGTTCAATGTGGATGCGGATGGAGATAGGGATGTGCCATGCAAACTGTGGTTCAATGTGGATGCGGATGGAGATAGGGATGTGCCATGCAAACTGTGGTTCAATGTGGATGTGGATGGAGATAGGGATGTACCATGCAAACTGTGGTTCAATGTGGATGTGGATGGAGATAGGGATGTGCCATGATGCCTGCACCTACCTGCACGCGTGCCTCAGTCAGGTCCGTGCGAAGTGCCAGCTGTTCACGTGCATACACGTCCGGGTAGTGCGTCTTCTGGAACACCTTCTCCAGCTCCTCCAGCTGGTAGCTGGTGAATGTAGTTCGGTTGCGTCTCTTCTTGCCCTTGTTGCTCTCGCCCTCAGCCTTCTCCAGTGGCCCTGTCAGCTCGGGGCCCGGCCTCTCTTGGGAGCCTTTCACCCCAGGATCCTTGACACTAAGGTAGCCTCCCTCCATCGCCGTTGGGTCGATGTTTGGGGAAAGGTCTGAATCTATCAGACCAGTCCTCTCTTTGGCTGTGGGGAGAAGGGGAGGTGCAGGGGAGAAGACATCTATCAACAGAGAGTTTCATACGTGTAACCCCCCCCCAAGCCACAAAGCCTGAATGACCCTTCACCATGACAGAGTTTGAGTTACTGTATGTTAAAATGTTACTTCAGTTTCAGCACTGAGGACTTTTTTATTCGATAATGAAAGAGCAGTTCTTTCCCATTTAAGGTTCAGTTGCATTTTGCTAAGAGGATGTAATCCCTTCCATTTATTGACAAACAATGATATATTGTTCACAAAACTAATGTTAATGTAAATACTGCATGAGTGTCCTTTACATAATAAGATGTTTGCTGCAGCTTGGATATCCAGGCATAATTAAGTGAGTGCCATTAAGAATTTTCCAGGACTTATTTCCCCGGTCAAGCTGTTAACATGCAAGTGAATGTGAAACCCTGTGCTGTGAAGTACTCTGCAGAAACACGAGCGGCGAGTCAGCAACACACTACTGCTCTGTTCTGTATATTCCGACAGGGATGGTTGCTCTTTGGGAAGGCAGCTATCAATAACAGCGCATCACCTTCACCGTACACTGCACAGCTGCCTGAAACTGTTACACTTTAAGGTGACATGGGAATACCACCCACATGTAGATCCAGGTAGGAAACATGGATGGTCATCACTCCAGCTGTCCACCAGGGGACGTCCTACTGAGGAATTTAACTGCTGGAGCACAGAATCCACTGTGGAACCTACCTGGGATTTCTTATCTCAGACGTTGCCAGTTTCTAAAAAGTTTAGAAATGACAGGACAGCAGTGAAGGGGCATCCCAGTCAGTGAATTGATTTGGGAGTGTAGTCAGAATGGTGAGGAAAGGTGAGTTTTTTCTTTCTGAACGTGGAAGCCCTTGAATAGATTTGCCAGGAGGCCTGTATCTTGGTGAAGCACTGGGGCTCGCTTGGTGATTTTCAGTTTTCCATTTGTTGTTTTTCTTTTTTTTGCAGAGCTGAGCCCTAAGTCCTGATGGGAACGTACCAGCGTTGAGGGTCTAATGACTCACACATTGCCAGCTGTCTCGAACTGACACATCCTGTTAGGTGAAACGGAATATGCATGTGTACCAAAACACGAACATTTCAAAACGATTCCTCCGAGATTGCTCGTGCCAGTCGCTCCTAGCAGAAAAGGCTCTTGGGCTGTTTGAAATACATGATCAAAGTCTCCTGTTTATGGCCGTGGTCCTTGATTACTTTTGGCAGAGAGAGCAGGGGGACCATTGCTTACTCGTCTGAGTGATTGGACGTGGCTGTAAGTCTCTCTGGTGGACCGGCAAGACAGCAGAAGGCTACCTCTGGGGGACTCAGCACAAATTGTCTCTGTCAGAGTGGTAACGCGGTGGGGAAGCCCGTGGGCCAACGCAATGCTGTACAAAACACTCCGTCCTTTGTTTACTGGAAATGTGTCAGCAGGGAGAAGAGTTTTGTGGTTCCAATTTAAGTCTGTTGATCTTTCGACCAACTTTATCTTTCGGCTTCTTGAAGAGCAAGTTGTCGCATGGGGAAACCGTTTTAATCTGTCAGTGTCGGGAACACGCTCACACTAAGGAGTGTGCCTGTGAGCTCAGGCTCGTCTCTCGTGGGGACGCCTCTTTTTTTTATACTCCCCATTCAAACCCGCCTCTTCCTTTCCTCCACGGAGAGTGCTGAGCTCACAGTAACTTGTCCCCTCCCTCCCCCCCCCGCCAAACAGCCTTCTTTAGCAAATGCATCAGGCCATTCTCTGTAGGGTTCTGCCCAAGTCAGCCTTGCACTGGTTTGATATCTCAATTAATACAACCATTTAATTATATTCCGCCTGATATATTGTGATCTGTTATCTCCATAAAGAGCTCTGCTCCTTCTCCCAATGCCATGCATGTTTCTCATTTAGCTGGATCTGCTCTACAGTGATGTTTTCAACTATTTCACATTTAGCTTGAGAGCCAAGATCCCACAGCCATCAGTTGCAGTTGCTCTGTTCGCGATGAAGGGGCATTTCAGCCTTTCATTGTTCCCCTCTGTACCGAGGAGCCTGTCAGTGGGCAGTCCCGGTCGTCCCAGGCTGCTGGGATCCTGCCTTAGCCTTTTATACCTGGGTAGTGAGTCAGCATAAGACACCTGTTAACAGGGGCATAGGTTTCATATTAACATTGAGGATGGCCGGTATCTCAGGTTCAGAGGTGCGACATCATGTCGATTCTTTATTTTTCATAAAACTATTGCTGTTGCAGTTACAATATATAAAGTGAAATGTATCTTTCCATTTTATTGTTATTCTTCTTCACTAATATGGTAGTTTAAGTGTGTTAAGTCCCGCATTATGCATGCTGAATTTGCGGGAATTATTAAAATTATGCACAATTTGCAAGATTCTCCCAGAAATGTCAGGCCATTTATTGTGGAGAGATGACCTCAGCTTTGGGTCCACAATGACACCCCTGTCACTCTCCTGCACCCTCACAAACACATCCTAACTCTCTCACAAACACATCCTAACTTTCTGAAAAGAAACACAACACACGTAAAATAGCGATCTTGTCCTACAGACCCATATATAAATATAGGAGATTTACTGAATCTCTTCTTGGTTAAAAAAAATAAGTTATAAAAAGACATTCTGCCAGTGCTATTTATGAAGTTCATGAGTCTGAGATTCAGGTAATTGAGTGACTTTATGGCATTTTCCAAATAAATGCCAGATCTGGCCCCTTTTTTGACGGGCTTCTTACTCATTCTTATACCCTAACAGCAAACAAAGTGGGGTGAGAATTGTGACTGACACAAACGCTACGTAGCGGTACGTTATCAGCGTTGCCATCTGTGCTATGCTGTTAACTACCAGCCTGGCTGCAGTTTGTACAATCAAATAAGATAATCTTTCTGAAACTTAATCGACATTAGATGATTACATTCCACCATTTCACATGGCCTTTTTTGATTAACTGTTTATGACAGAGTCTTCAATGAGTTAAGTTTACATGTAAAGCCGTACCGTGCTTTTGCGCTCCCCGCTCACTATGCGGTTTCCTTACTCGTGGGTCTGGAAGTGAGCTTCTGCCTGCCAGAGCGGGAGTTGAGAACAAACCATTTTAAAGGAGGGTAGGGGTTCTACAAATAAAAATTGTAAGAAAATAAACTTTAAAATATGTAATGAGAAATTGTATGTGTTTTTGTAAACCAGGCATTATATGTGGTATTTTTGAGGGGGGTGATACCCCCCATTTCAACAAATCTACGCCTATGTCTGGTGTTATATCAGTCAGTCAATTAAATTGGTAAAAAAATTTGAGAAAAAATAACTTTTTTTTTCAAAGTTTCAAATAGCACGTATTTCCCGTAAGTGTTCCACCAATGTGATAAGTGTAAAGTAAAGATAAAATTTTGTACCTTTGTCATTTGGGCTGTACCCTCAAGGGTCTGCAAACTGTACCCTTAGCTGTAGGTAATTGTACCTTTTAAGGTACAGAAATGAACTCTGGAACATTTCTGTACAGTACCATTGATGGGACATTAATGCAGATTGTACCTTAGCAGTGTTATTCAGAGTCCTTTTCTGTTCCTTAAAAGGTATAATTACAAGGGTACAGCCCCAGTGACAAGCAAAGGTACAAAGTTTTACCCTTTTTTCTGGGTACTGCATAGCTGGAGTAGGACACGGTGGGTGACAGTGGAAGAGAAGGTCAAATGGGAGAACTAATTGACAGTTTAACCCTAGTGCATTTACACCTTCTTGTAAAGCCCGAAACGGGCTGTAAACTGGTTTTAATGTATTATCCTCTGGGAATCACTGTGAAAGGTCAGTGATTATATATTACTGCCTAAATGCAAATGACGCTTTCTGTAGAGTATGGAAATAACCATGCAGAGGCCCAAGTGACATTTTCCAAGATTTGATAGTTTTTTAAGTTTACAATTTTAATAAAAAAACATCTGAACAAGAATTCAGTGTGCTGCTATTCATCCGTATCAAGAAACATCCAGGTAGGATTTTAGGACCCATAACTTCTCCTATAGCATATAATCGGTCTATTTAAAGTAATAAACTATATATTCATATATTTAGTTTATAGAACAGTAATGCAAAGATTTCTACTTCAGTCAAACACATGGAGTTAAGCTAATTAGCGCCTATAAATTGCCCGTAGACTGTGTGCATGCCCTACGAAGGACTGGCATCCCATCACGGTGTACCACAGTCTTGTGCCCTCTGCTGCCTGGGATAGACTCCATGTGACCCCGACCAGGATATGTCGAGTTTTACCGGCATCGCAGGCCTACATTTAGCTGCTTTTGGGGCTCTGAAGGAAAACATCAAAGTCTAATTTAAGTAGCTCTAAAGTACCAGGGCGTCCCCTCCGCGTTTTTATGGAAAGCGATAGGTGAGGTCAGGAAAAGGATAGTAAAAGGAACGCTTAAAATCAGGCACCGTGAAGAGCCAGCAAAAGGGTTAATGAGCAAACCTTTCAAAGGGAGAAAAGGAAGCACACAGAGAACCTATTAAAAAGACATAAATCGAAAATTGTTTACAAAGTTCTTGTGGGTTAAGACTTTTTATTAGAAGAGAGCAGCAGAAGAAAATTGAAAAGCGTGCTTTCTTCGCTAAGTGCTAATTTGAAGATGCGCTTTCCTCTATTCTGCTCTTACGAGATTGTTCAGATCTCAGCGCTTCACGGGCATTCCCGACAGCCTGGTGCTCCGTTACAAGCGCTATTTTGGATTTGACCCGCAGACACAAACTGACATCGTGGGAGTGTAACGTGTAACCTGATTGACAGCCCGAGTCATCGGCTTTTGTCCTCATTTCATTACTAGTGTAAACGCCGGCGGAGATCAGCATTACTAACAGTGTAGTGTGGAGGCATTACGAAGCTTCCTCTCAGAGATCCACCTACCGCTACTGGCGAAACCGGAGAAAATCGCCGGAACAGCAGCTTACTCTGTCTCTCTGTAGCACGCCCGGGGTAAATCTAAAATACCGCAGAAAGTG